CTCGACTCTGGCCGGCCCAGAGGCCAATACCAAAAAAAAATTATAAACATATATTACTCGAAAATCGAATTTCAAAAAAAAACAAAAAAAAAAAAGCCCCCCCAAAATTTCAAGTCCCAGCCGCACGCAGCTTTTTGTGTGTAGGGTCAGTGCGAGAGATGTGTGCACGTGATTTTGATATTTTCAGTGTCAGGTTCGGAAGCCTTCAAATGACGCCTCCTCTATTATTGACCCCTTTAAGGCAACGTTGTCTCGCCTTCGTCGTCGTTGTCGTTGTCGTTGGGCAGGGGTTAGGGGTCAAAGCCGCCTAATGGGCATCGCTGAGATAAGGGCGGTCGGTATTATTGAATTTGTTTTCTAATTTCATTACATTTCCATCCAATTTGCTAGACTTTGCATTCCGCTTTGCTCATCCCAAATACCTTCCCTCTTTCGCCCACTCTGCCTCACTCTCTCTCCCTCTCTCTCTCTCTCGCTCTGTGTATTTTGCGCTGATAAGACGCTGACAGCCTTATAGGGCACTAATCACCAGAAGCGTGTGGAAACAATATCATCTCTCCCTCTACATATATATATATTTAAATAAATGTATATATATATGTGTATGGATTGTCACATAGGTAATTCGGTTCCCTATCGAGGGGGCTTTACTCTGCGGCTTATCTTTGATGCAAATTGTATGCCCAACACATGAACTGGGTTAGTTTTTGAGAAATCAAAGAACAATTCGGGAAAGTTGACTTTAGCTGGAGCTTTGCTTTGCTCTTGTCACGAGATTTTGATAAGTATTGTTCCATGGAAACATTTGTGTGTTATAGTATATATTATTAATCTATATAGTGGATTATGGCTTTGTTTTTTTTTTTTATTTTGTTTTGTCGGACTAACAGACAGGACTGTACTCGTACAATGAACTTTTACCGTTGAATTGCTTTGCTTTGCAGTGTTGAAAAGTCGCTTGAAAAGTTTTCGCTCAGTGTTAAAGTTGCCGTAAAACGCATTCAGTTAGGTTATATTTTGGTTAATTCAAAAAGAATTAATACCTAAATAAAACTTCTGAATTTTTAACTTTTAGCGTTCTTTTCATAGAAAGATGTACAGTCACAAAATGTAAACACTTTGTTCTAATTGGACTGTAAAAAGTCCTTGATATTATACACTTTTTTGTTTTAAACTGATTTTTATTGCACACACGAATTTAGTTCAACTTAAAATTGAGTTTTGAATGCAACAGTTTTTAAAAGGAATAAGGCACAGTCTATGCTAAAAAAATTGGCTTAAAATCTATTTGGAACATTTGAGAAATCGAAGAACAATTGAAAATTCTGTCTCCTTGATTTTTAACATACCAACTGAAAAGGGATTCTTTTGTGAATGTTTAATTGGAACTTTTTCACGTAATATTGGGTAACATGTATTGAACCAAGGCTCTAAAAAAAACCTGACTAGTTCTCAATAATTCGTTTTTCAAACCGAACAAGACTTGGATTAAAATCATAAACCAATTTCGTTTTAAGAATTCATTTTAATTTAATTTTATATTAATCCAATTAAATATTTAATGAATTCTTAGAACGAAATATTATAAGGCCGGTCGAGATCTTTAATTTTATATTCACCATTAAAACCGAAATGACTCAGAACCATTTTTGAGCGGTTTTACGAATTTGAATTTGGGTCCCAGCCTTGATATATTTAGTTATCACTTTTAAGAAATATATTTCGGAAAGACTTTGCCTCACTTTTTGATATGCTCAGTTGCAAGGAAGTTCTTTGGACACATGCTTGAAAAAATAAATCGATTTAATGTTTTGATAACTCACCTGGCTCTGCGTTCGAGCTCCTTGGTTTTGGGATTGCGTATCAGGACAAAGGGCAAACGGTTGGAGACAACGATCAGGCTGGCCTTGGTCGATGGTTCCCCGGCATTGGTCACAATGATCTCCGTGTCGGGCATTTTTTTATTTTTGTTTGTGGTAGATTTCAGTCCCAGAAGCTGGATACTATACGTATTTATAGAATAAAACAATGCACACGAATAAATATCACTGGGAGTCTTGGCACATAGTTAAAAAAGTTTGTTTCGAACAGGATATGGGATACGGCAGTCGAGTACGGCTGTAGAGTACGGCTGTAGAGTACGTCTGTAGAGTACGACTGTAGGGTACGGCTGTCGAGTACGGCTGTAGAGTACGTCTGTAGAGTACGACTGTAGGGTACGGCTGTCGAGTACGGCTGTAGAGTACGTCTGTAGAGTACGACTGTAGGGTACGGCTGTAGAGTACGTCTGTAAAGTACGGCTGTAGAGTACGCCTGTAGAGTACGGCTGTAGAGTACGGCTGTAGGGTACGGCTGTAGGGTACGGCTGTAGTGTACGGCTGTAGAGTACGTTCGTAAAGTACGTTCGTAAAGTACGGCTGTAGACTACGACTCTTGAGTTTGGCTGTAGAGCACGGTTGTAGAGTACGGCTGTGGAGTACGGCTCTTGGGTAGGGCACCTTATGTTCGAGCCGTGGACTTGTTTGCGCTGCGGTGTGTGGCTAACAACTAATTGGGCCACACGAAATGCACTGGCTGTCTGGGCTCTGGGCTGTGGTCTCTGGGTCTGGGTCGCGTCGAGAGATGCAACGAGCTTGACGTCTGTGTGGACGTCGCTTATCAATGAGACGCTTCTATCTATCTCAATATACTTATATATACGGACGGACAAAGCGAACGCTTACCGTGCTGCAGTCGAGGCAGGTGGACGCACTGAGAGTGTGAGGGAGCACGCCGCCAAAAATCAAAACAAAACCAAAAACAATTTAATGCTCCGTGATCTACAAGTCCAAACTGCAATTGGTCGGACTGGAAAAACTATGTGCTTCGGTGTCTCTGTGTCTGTTTTTCCAGCTGGCTTCTGAGCTGTCGATTGCCGATTTCTCCCGGTAGCCAGCTAGCTCCGTACTCTGCCAAAAATAGACGAGCACTAATGCCAATCTCGTGCTCAACTCGCATTTTTCTTCAAAAAAAAAAGCAATGCCTATGTGTGTACTCAGGTTCCACAGAGTCCACACGAAAGATGGCTTATCAGAAAATCATCGTTCAGTCCCATTCGAAGTATAATCTATTAATAGGTCGCAGCGTATTATGTATGTGCGAAAGCGTGCCACAAAGAGTGCTTGCTGGAAGTTTCACTAGACTTCGAAACGATGTTGGGTGGCCAGTTGGGGACTTGCACTCCTCAAGCTAGGCCTGAAGCTCAGGGAGTACAAGGCTTACAAGGGCACAAAACTAGGCTTAGATTAATCTGGTATTAACCGGCTGTGTCCGGTTTTATCAGCCCGACAGCGTTTGTCTTTGAGAGCGATAAGTCAACAAGTCGTTATTCTTGTTGTTTGCGTAGTTTTTGTACACATAAATGTACATCTATATTTAGACTTAAATCTGGACTTGGCTGCAAGCTGCATTGAAACAATGCATCGCTTAACCCTAACTTGACCTTGTCGTAACCTTAGATTCAGCAATTAATTGAACATTAGCGCATTTAACGCTCAGTTAAATAGTTAATAGAGAGAGAGAGAGGGAGCCAAAGCTGATAAGATGATAAGAGATGCCTGTGCTGTGCAATCGTTTGCATTGTTTATGCAATGCATTGAAGATTTAGATTTGGCTAATTACGTAGGGATTAGGTACAGTCTCTCTCTTTATGTGTCCATCGCAGTTGCTCTTCAAGCATTTGTGAACTTGAACGCTTGATCATGTCTGGCATTCATGCGCTTATCATGACGCCAAACCTAACGTTGACGTGATTTGCAATAACATTTTCGAAAATCAAAGCTTAGTCATGTGCAATGCTGCATCTGATAACCCGTTCAAGGGTCGTTTAAATGTTTATTTATTTATTTAAATACTTCCATTTAATTTGATGGCGACATTTGTCTTTTTGACGCAAGCTCTATTTGCATACGCGTAGCAAATTTTCAATTTTCAAAAAGAAAAAGTAACGGCCTTTTCGCTGTGTCTCAACTGACATAGCAAGCAGCTTTTGTCGGCCAACTATCGATCGCATTTATCGGCGCGCTTTTCAACGATATCGATAACTGTTCTTTCGCTTTGTCGGATTCGCTTTGGCATTGAAAAAGTAATAACAATAAAAATGGATCCTTCAATTATTGAGTTTATTGGCGAGAAATCGATGATTAGCATAATACCCAATTTCTCCAATGAACCGCTTCATCTAATTTATGGCTCTGTGGGTCCATTTCGCGCCGGCTTTCCTGTGTATGTGCCGCTCTGGCTGGCGACGCACTTGCGAAAGCAACAAAAGTGCCGCATTGTGCCGCCGGAATGGATGGATCTTGAAACGCTGGAGGAGATTAAGGAGGAGGAGAAGCGTTCCAAGTGAGTTGATATGTGACAAACCCAATTTTAATGTCACCTGGCACCTGTCCTCCCTTGACAGATTCTTCACAAAGATGCCCAGCGAGCATTACATGGTGGTGGCCCAGCTGGTCATGAGCACGGCACCAGATGATGTGCCGCGTTGCGAGGAGTTGCGCACAATTATCAAGGACATTTTCGACATACGCGAATCAAAGCTGCGCACCTCGATCGATGCCTTCATTAAAGGCGAGGGCACCTACGCCAAACTGGACAATCTGACGCTGCTGGAGATACACAGTGTGCGCCCAATTCTGCCCTATTCCCTGGATCACATAGCGCGCTATCAAAGAATTGCCACCGCATCGCAGCGGGATACTTCCATGCTGGGATTGAGCACAACGGGCGGCGGCGGCGTCTCCGGCTCCGGCTCCGGCTCAGCCACGGTCACGGGCTCCATGAGCAATTCCTTTTTCACGCAGTAACTGTTCATGATGTCGCTCAGACGTAAGTTTAAGTTAATTATATGTATTGTACAGGCTTGGCCAGTTCTATGGTGAAAGCTCCGTTGAGGATACAGAAAGGGTTTGCCTAGTTAGGGAAGCTGTTTGAAGAGTCTTCACTGTAGTTCCTTAGCATTTGCTTCTTCTCATTATAATTCGCCCTTTTTCAATATTACGTTTTAATTAATTTATTTTACAATTTTGCATAAGAATGCGATTTGATTATGCGTGCGGTGCTGTTGCCACCGATTCGGGATGTATTCTTTTGACGTGTCTGCACAGGTTATCCCAACGTGGGGTAACAAATTTGCAGCCAGAGATAATGCAGACGTGGAGGAGAACACCGTCGCTGGGATTCTCCATATGCTTGACAATGTGTCGCTTAATATTATAACAGCGATTCGTGCGATAGCTGCAGGTGTTGCACGCATACGTTTTGGTTTTGCCCTTCTGATAGTTTCTTCTGCAAATGTTAGAGTATTTATTATGAGCACAAATTGTGTTGGGAAGTGTGTTACACTAGGCTTACTTTGGCTTGCCAATGCTGGGCTTTTTTATTTTGGATTCCCTGTTCAAATTAGTTGTAAGCTGATCAATTGATTCCGCATGCTCATCATCAGTTGGCATTGATGCTTGGTCATAATCTGCAATTGAGTCCAGATCCTCTTCGTCGAGTGCATATTCTACACTTGCCACAGATGCCAGATCCTCTTCACTTGGCATCGGTTCCGCCTCTTCACTTGGCATCGGTTCCCACTCATCACTTGGCGCTGGCTCCTCGTCCTCTTCACATGGCATTGCTTCGGCGGCATCCTCGCTTGTGGTTATTGTCGTTCTTGTCTTTTTGACACCATGTAGTCGTTGCATGTGTCGATTCAGATTATCCCAGCGCAACGTTGAGAAGGAGCAGCCCGCATATGGACAGATGTGCTGCAGTTCCTTGGGCGGTTTCTCATAATGATTAACCAGATGTCGCTGAACATTGTAGGCGCGATTTGTCTGATAGCTGCACTTGGAACATTTATATATTTTAATAGGCTTGGGCGCCTTCTTTGGACCTATGACTATCACTTCATCTTCCATGTTGATCAGTTTGCAGTTGAAGCTAAAAGGAAGCATCGAGATTAATGGGAAATAGCTCAAATCCGGCTGCTCAAAATGTAAACATACCGCCAATTGGTACAGATTAAAAACGACTGCAGCGCATTTATTGATACTTGCTCATTAAAACGCTTGCCAGAAAAAATTAATTTTATAAATATATATGTTATCTTTTATTTGTTAATAAATTTCAAACAGCTGTGCGCAATGTGACCGCATTGCCTGCAGCAGCCACAATTTTAGACGGTGCTGCCAACGTGTTGCGACAAAATATGCGCGACAATTTTAGTTTCGTGGTGAATGGCAAAGCGAAAAAATGGCGCGTAAACGGGAAAGTGAAGAAATTGTTCAGTGCAGAAAATTAATAAGAAAACGTTTGAAATAACATGACTATTGCATTCAACTTCGTATATTTGTGAAGTTTACCAATAAGCGGCTGAAAGCTATTCAATTGTTGGTGTGTCTGATGCTGCGTGCACTATTTCCAATGGGCCTGCACAATTGATGCCAAACTAACTGGAATTAAGCAAAAATGTAGTACAATTTCCTTTTTTCCAATGTGCCGCATTTTGTGTCAAGTGCCGTTATTATTATAAGCACGAATTGTGCGGTAAGTGCATTTCGAAATGGACATGAATAAGATTTCGACCCGGCTTTTTTGAGGCTCTTCCTAACCCACATTCCTTGTAAAGTGTTTCCAATGCAATGCAGACTAGTTGCATTTTTAGTGGCTTTTTAAAGTGTTGGATGTTTCACTCACAGCCGCTTATTAATTTTTGAACTCATTTCAGATAAAAATTGCAGCGCAAAGACAGCCTAGCGCAGGAGAATGCAAACAAACGTTGGCAAAAAATACATAACGATCTTGTAAAGGCAGATAAGTCTTGTTTTATGCTTAAAGTCAATTTATAAATGGGCTTAAACATGCTGTTGCGCAGTAAAATTGATGCATAAAAAAAAGCAAATTGGCAAACATTACATGTGCGTAGTGTGACCGTGTATTTTGTGCATATTGACATCGATAGATTTGCCTGCCGATATTGAAGTTATCGATATTTTGAGTAACAGCTGTTCGACAAATAATATGCGTTGCGCTGTGAATGGCAAATGTGACGCGTATGGCGAAAATTTGTGGGAAAAATAAGTTAAGTGAAATTGAGGAAAACAGCAGATATACAACATGAGCGAGACTGTGGCAGATGCCACTGCCGTTCAAGTGATGGGCAGCAACAAGATACACTTTTCCAAGGAGGTGAAGCAGGTTATTGACAAGGTGAGGCAAGCCAAGCAGCGACAAAATCGTGGCATAAATTATGAACAATTTTTTTGTTAGGTGCTGAAAACAGACGAACAGGATCCAATGGACGCACCAGATTTCAACACAGTGGATTACATTAATCAATTATTTCCCAATGAGCAATCGCTGGCCACAATCGATGAGACAATACAGCGCATGCAGTGTGAAGTCTCGCTGATTGATGACAATATACGGTCCGTGGTGCGCGGCCAGACGAACACGGGCCAGGATGGTCAACTGGCGCTGTGCGAGGCACAAAAGGTGATCAGTTCGCTGTTCAGTCACATTATCGATGTGAAAACCCGCGCCGAACGCACCGAGGAAATGGTCAAGGAAATCACGCGCGACATAAAGCAATTGGATTGCGCCAAGCGGAATCTGACCTCGGCCATAACCACGCTGAATCATCTGCATATGCTTGTGGGCGGCATTGAGAGCCTAAACGAGCTAATTGAACGGCGCTCCTATGGCGAGATTTTGAATCCACTGCAAGCCATCACTGAGGTGAATCAACATTTCCAGCAGTACTCGGACATTGACGAAATCAAGGTATGAACCGAATCATTTATAATCAAATAGGGGCCAATTAATCACACACATTTTGTATTCCAGAATCTCTCTCAGAGTGTGGATAAAATTCAAGTAACGCTGGCTCAGCAAATAACAGAGGATTTCAAGGAGGCATTTGCCAACAAACCCTCCACGCAGCACAGATTGGGCTTAAATCAGCTGGCTGATGCGTGCAAAGTGTTGTCCGTGCTGGATGCCAAGGTGAAAAAGGAGCTGCTCAAGTGGTTCATAGCACAGCAGCTGGAGGAGTATATGCATTTGTTTCACGAGAATCAGGATATTGCCTGGCTGGATAAAATAGACAAACGCTATGCCTGGCTTAAACGACATCTGCTGGACTTTGAAGATAAATATGGCTCTGTGTTTCCGTTAGACTGGGAGGTCTCCGAGCGCATTACAGTCGAATTTTGTCGCCAGACACGCCAACAGCTGGCACAGATCATGGCCAAGCGCACCGCAGAGATTGATGTGCGTCTGCTATTGTTTGCTATTAACAAGACGCAAGCCTTTGAGCAGCTGCTCTCCAAGCGCTTCACGGGCGTCACCCTGGGCGCCACGCCCGCCGAACAGACTCGCGTCCTAACGCTGCCAGCTGCGGCAGAGGCATCGCTTACCGTGACCGTATTCCATGATCAAATTGGCCAGTGCTTTAAGCCCCATCTGGACATTTATATACGCAGTATTGATCGAAATTTATCGGAGTTGCTTGAGAAGTTCATTGAGATGTCCAAGGAACCGTACAAGTTTGCAGAGGCCAAGACAACAGTCTATCCCAGCTCGGGTGATCTATTTGTCTTCTACAAGAAATGCATGGTGCAGTGCAATCAGCTGAGCAATGAGCAGCCCATGTACGATCTGGCGCTGGTCTTCAAGAAATATCTGCGCGAATATGCCGCCAAGGTGCTCGAGGGTAGCACGCCCAAGCTGGTCACCAGCAGCACGGGCAGTTCCATCGGCAAAAGCGTCTCCCTGTTAACGCGCGACATGCAAAATCTGTCGACAGCCGCCGGTCAGGTGTTTCACAACTTTCTCAAGGAGGGCGACACACAGCGTTTCAGTCGCGACGATCTGGTGCGCATTTGCTGCGTCCTGACCACCGGCGAATATTGTCTGGAAACAGTGCAACAGCTGGAGGATAAACTCAAGGAGAAGGTTACCGCCGCCTATGTCAGCAAGATAGACATGAGCGAAGAGAAAGATGTCTTCCATCGGTAAGTCTAAACTCTCTCCAATTGACAACATTATCCATATACATATATATAGATATATATAGCAGACTCTATGACTGAACTGACTTATTCACTCATTTTCCATTTTCACAAAATTTTCATTTAAATTTACCTTGTACTTCGAAATATGCGCGAAGCAATTTTGTTTTTTTTTTTTATCAAAAGAACTTCAAATTTATTACAAAATCTTCACTAACAATTTTTGGCGAACAAACTTTTTATTCCATTTTTTTTTTTGATTTGTTTAAAAATTACTTTAAACTATGTTTCGACAAATTTGGAAAATCCGCACTTCAAATTATAAAACGAGGAGAAAAACTGTTCAAGGCTCTGCGTAAAAAATATTCAACAATTATTTTAATTGATTTTGGAAACTTTCTGTTTTTCATTGGATATTCGAAAACTCATTAATTTTAAACGTCTCGGAGCATTCATCTCATCAATTTCATCAAATCCATTCAGCAGCACATTAGGAAAATTTATGGAAAACAGATGTTAAACAACTTTGCAACATTCATAATGAAATCTTACCTTCTTCAGCATCATTTCCAATTGCATACAGCTGCTCGTACAGGATCTGGAGGCAGGCTGTGAGGCCTCGCTGCAGGCAATGGCCAAGGTGCAGTGGCAGCACATCAGCAACGTGGGCGATCAGAGCGCGTTCATCAGCAGCATTTGCGGCAACTTTAAGCAAACGGTGCCCGCCATACGGGACACGCTCGCCAGTTCCCGCAAATATTTTACGCAATTCTGTCATCGTTTCGTGGCCGCGTTCATACCCAAGTTCATTAATGTGCTGTATCGCTGCAAACTGACGTTGTCGGATGGCTCCAATAATGTGCTCGGCTGTGAGCAGCTGCTGTTGGACACGCACTCGCTAAAGACGGCGCTGCTGGAGCTGCCGTCGGTGGGTTCGAGTGTCAATCGCAAGGCGCCCACCAGCTACACCAAGGTCGTGGTCAAGGATATGACCCGAGCGGAGATGATTATCAAGGTAGTGATGACGCCAGTGCAGCCGCCGGCGCATTTTACGCAGCAAGTGCTCAAACTGTTGCCGGACATAACCATAGCTGAGTATCAGAAAATCTTGGACATGAAGGCGGTCAAGCGTGTGGATCAGCTGCAGCTGATCGATCTCTTCAAGCACACAGCCTCCGCGGCCGCAGTCAGCGGTCTTTTGGAGCCAACCAATAGCGAGGAGGAATCGCTGCCCGTTGCCAATGAGGTGCCTGCGCCAGCAACAGAGGAAACCGAAACAGATGCGAAAACCAATTCGTCGTCTCTAGATGCCACAACGGCGCCCGCAGCTGCAACGAATGCGACGCCCAAACGTGCATTCATCTTCAGCGTGGGCAGCTTTACGGGCAGCGCGGACAAGAATGCCGATGGCAGCTCCCAGACAGGTATACGCAAGCTGGAGAGTCTGCTCAAGAAACGTTTTCCCTAGTCAAGTCCACTAACTAACTAGTAAATACAACAATCAAAACATTCCATTAGTTCGATGTAATTTTAAACAGCAGCAGCAGATGTTCCACATTTCAACGAATCGAAAGCCTAACTTGAAGTTAGTATTTGTTTCTTAAAGAATTTACAATGAATATTTGGAGATACTTTAAAGAATGTCAAGGCTATTTATTTTCATGATTGTCAAGTAACAAAATTATTGAATAACTTGTGTAATATTTAAGAAAGTTTTGAATATCCTTTAAATTAATATGAGTCAAGAGAGATAATTCTTGAAAAGATTAAGTAATTTAATTGGAAAAAGAAACCAGTCTCGAACAACTTTAAATATTTTTTTAAGCTGGAAAAAAATGGCAAATATTTGTAAACTTTAAAAGAAAACAGTTTTCAAATTTTCTTTTGTCATTTATAGAACTTCTTAATTATTTAGAGTTGCCTTTAGGTTTTTTTTGCATTTTAATGTTTGACAAAAGAACTCAAGTTCTTTTTTGCAAAAGATTTCGAGCGAACATCCTGAAAAATATGTTTCGAATGAAGTCAAATATAAAACTCCGAATATAGTAGTTTTTTAAAGATAACTTTTCCGAAGAGCTGTCATCAATAAAAATGTTTGCAAGAAACGATTTGGCAAGAGTAAATTCTATGATAAATGACAAACAAAAAAAAAAAACCAAAAATTGTAAAACAAAACGAATAATGAAAAGCATTTCATGTTGGTTTACTGGATATTGTATTTGCTTTTATTGTAGACTTGACTGCTTAGTGTTAAAAAAACATTTAACTTATGTGACTATATTCAAAAATTGTATTCTTATGTGTTCGTTGTGCTAATGACTACGACAATGTTCGCTTAAAGTTCTATGTGGAGCGCTTACAAAAACTAGGATTTGCTTTTTAATGCCTATGTACATGCAAACTAGGTTTAACTAATTCAAAAATCGTACGATCTATAATTTGAAGATCTTTTGAAAGTTTTTAAAGTCGCCCAATGGGTGCGCACAAAAAATACAAATCTCTATAACAAAAGACTTAAGACACGAACTAAACAACTACATTGATAATATTTCGAACAATTATTTCAAAATTTTTCTCTTTTTGTTTGCTTTTGTTAATTTAATTTTGTTCTTTATGGTCGTTATGTTAATATGCTTTGGTTTAATTCCAGCACTGCAAAAACCTATATTGATATCTATATATATATATATATGTCTGTATATGTATGTATATAAGGTATATGACTATTACGCGGTAGGCGTGGCAGTTCAGCATTCAAAGGCCAGTTAGAACCAAGCGGCTAACAACGCCCGAAGCCGAACGCTTACTTAAATATTATGTACACAGGCCCAGCCGGGTATACACACTCTCGCACATTCAAATACACGGTATTTAAGAAAGTCGAGTGCTCAGGCTTAAGGCTCCAGGAAACTGTGCGAGCTCTGCTTAGACGGCGACAATCTTGCTGGGATCGACCTTGACGCGCAGAAAGACTGTATCGCTCTTGATGAACGGTCGGCTGTGCAGCAGCTCGTGCGAGATGAAGCGTGGAAAGCCAAAGCCCAGCTGGTCGGGCTCATTCGATGGCCGCTGGAAGTTCTCCCAGGTGGGATCGGGCACAAATGATTCGGCAACGCCGCCCTGGCCGCTCTGGGCGCCCTGCTCGAACAGCGTGAATGTAATCGAGTGGGAGAAGGGCCACTTGAGCAGCGCATCATATTCGCCCGGCAGCACCTTAATGTATACGGAGACATGGGTATTCTCGCCGGGTCCATTGCCATTGAGAAACATGGACGCCTGCAGCTTATAGCCGTACTGTGAGGTATAGAATGGCGGCGAGACCAGCTCGAGGCCATCCTTGCCGCGTGCCTCGTTCATCTTGGCCGACCAGTCGGTTATCTTCCAGAGCAGCGTGCCCGTATAGTTGATCGACAGCTTTGACACCGCCGACTTGAGCATTTGTATTTGCTGACCCTGGCGCGTGCTCAGCGCCACCATCAGCGACAAATGCGCCGCGGCGCTGCTCTCCAGATGCGCCTCCAGCAGCTGGCGCGGTCCCTTAAAGCGGCAGCCGGCCTCCTTAAAGCTGCAGGCCAGCGCCAGCGATTGGCATTCGTCGCGCAGATGCGCCTCCAGTTCGCCCCGTGCTATCGGACCCGCATCGCAGCGCTGCGGACAGGCCAATGGGGTGCGCGGACACTGGGCCGCGTGCAGCTGCAGCGTGTCCGCCGAGAATTCGCGCTGGCAGTGGGCGCAGCGACGCAAACGCTTGGCGCAGTCCTTTGATTTGTGCAGTGTCATGCGACCGCGCAGCACACGCTGACCGCACTTGGCCTCACAGTAGACCGGCTCCTGGCCGCAGCTGCCGTTGTGCTCCTCCAGTCCGGCGCCCGAGAATTCGCTCTGGCAGAATTCGCAGCGTGTACGCCGCATGGTGCATGTGTACTGCAAATGATCCGTCATCATGATGCGCGGTATCTGTGCGCCGCATTTATTGGGGCACTGTGTGGCATCGTGCTTGCACGTGTTCAGATGCCCCTTCAGCTTGCGCAGCTCATCGGACCATTTGCAGCCCTGCTTGTGGTGTATGCAAAAGACCAGGGAGCCCATTATGGCCTGTTTTGGATCTGGACCGGGATAAATCTGCAAGGGGTAAGTGATAAAATGTTTCAATTAGTGACTGCTCAAAAGATTCTATAGAATTAAACATAGATATATGTATAACTTCTGAAAGCAAAGTATCTCACAGATACAATATATTGCGCAATCAATATCTATCTACAACTATCGGCTAAGTATTTGGCTGAAATTTCCCACTTTAAATTTATATAGTTTTTGGGGGGTTTCCTCTTCAGAATAATGGGAAGTGTATCTAGGAGATACAATATCTTCACTGTCTAAAAAGCTTTACAAGTCTCTTTTGTGTGCTTTGTGAAAGATAACAAATGTATCTTTAAGATACAAACATTTTTCGTTTTGCCGCAGTTGAAAAGTATCTATGAACTACAATATCTCCGCCATATCTTAGATACATTCCCTTTCCGTGCACTTGTTTAACTCTTACAAATGTATCTATCAGATACAACATAACATTAGAAGTTATGTATATGACGGATACAATACCTTTAGCGCCTATTGCAAATGTATCTAGCAGATACAATATCTGAAGCACTTACTTTGTACTTGACTTTGCCAAAAACGTTGCCAAAAACCCATCGAACCTAACGGACGCACTTGCAACTCTTGACTGTTAAATATGCCGCATCAGGCGAACACTTTTATAGCTAAGCTGATGCTTGTTCCTGTTTCTATTTTCGTTTCTGCTGCTGATAAGCCGATATTCGAGGATGTTTCTCGCTTATCTATTTAACGGAACCAACCACTTTATTGGTTTTTTGCTTTGCCCGTGGAAGCCAGCTACCTAAGCGATGTGCTACCTGCACACCTCGCACCTCACGCATCTAAGTCGTCAACAGTTTACACATGACTGATCATGTTCTTAGACACACTCGCACACACACACACACACACACACCGATGCACACTCACACACCTAGGCACAGGCATGCACTTCCTGTCTACCATTTTGGGCCTGCGCCTGGGCTTTGCTTGAGTGCATTCTGTGCATGCGGCTTGTTCTGAGTTTTCTTATGCTCGCTACGCCTTCCTTTTGCTGTTGCATTTCTCTTAATTACAACAACACAACAACAACAAATGGCAAAAGGGGGCGTGGCCAGCTGGGCAGCTAAACATCCGGCGAGCTTTTCCATATCGTAATAAATTGTGCGAAAATATTTATGACTGGCTATTGAAGTAATTAAAACAAAAAACGCTCAACCCGTTGATGCATACATGTGCATGTATGTATGCATATGAGAAAGTATTCAAAGATGCGTCTGCCTTGTGTGTGTGTGTGTGTGTGTGTGTGTGTGTGTGTGCAATCCCCCCACAAATGCGCAGCTCCTAACTGAGCGTCGCGACATTTCCGGTTGACTCTTTTTAATTGACCTTATCTGCAGTTTGGCGGCGCCCGAGCCCGAGCCTAAGCCCGAGCGTGGCTTGACTTTTGATAAATGAACATGTCTCGACATGTCGCACACAACAACAACAACAACAACAACAAGTACTCTCAGAGAAAATGACATGAAAATGAAAGATATATAATAAGCAATTAACACATGAGCCGAGCCCCGGTTCGCTCGAGCTCTCTGGAATGGGCGTAGAGCATGAAACAGAAGCAGAAAAAAATACAAAAAAAAGAAGAAACAGATATAATAATACATACATACACATGTATATGTATGTATTTCTAGGGAATTGCCGCTTGCTGGTAATTTAATTTAACGTGAAAACAAGTTTTGCGCTGTTCTTAATTTTATTTTTGATGTCACTAAAAATCTGAACTATGGCCAGCACCAAAATTTGTTGGTGAACTCTGCGTAATACCGAGACAAAATGGACCAATTAGCCGGCTTTGAATTGGGTGCAGTATATATGTAGATATGTATAATTCAGGAAGTAACGACTGCCACTCAGCTTGGCGATAAAATAAACAAGATGTTGAAAATGTTTACACAAATTGAAAATGATGTGCGGCAGGCAGGCAGGCTGGAAGAGCATTTGCTCTTGCTCTTGCTCCTCCTTAGTTTATGCACCGACAAGCGCAGAGATCAAAAAGCCGACTGTTTGTCAACGTGGAACCAACTGTTTACAGGGAAATCAAACAGTTTCCCAAAAAGGAGACGAGGCAGTGGAATTGCGAGAGATCATTGACTTTTCATTCAGGCAATTGAGTTTGCTTTGGTGCGGACCACACAGCTTAGCCGAAATGATTATATGCCTAAGATAATTATCTAGAAATTGAGCACCGGAAATATATATTAAAATATAATAGCTCAGCTAAGTGTCAATTCAACAAAATGTGAACTGCCTTGAGACACTCGACATAAACAAAAATAAAAACAAAAATACAAATTGTGCTGGGGCGTCTTTAACTGCATTGAACTCCAGTTCAGGTGATTAACGAATAAAATTAAAAAAAAAAAAACACTTTGCCAAATTTTACGTAAGGCAAATGAAATAAACTTTAAAAGCGTGTTATATAAAATCAAATGATTTTAAATTCAATTTGTGCGTGCACACCATGAAAATGAAAGCGCAGACAAAATATAAAAGAAAAAACTTAAAAAAAAGGGTAAATAAAGAAATACAACAAAAACTCAGGCAGGTTGTCAAATCAAAAAAAAAAAGGGCTGCTTTTAAATAAAAAGTCAACAAACTAAAACAAAATAAAGTAAATAAAAAGTAAACAATCAGCAAGAACAGCTTATCGCCGGCACACAGAGTCTTCAATGCCCTAGAAATCATATAGAAATGAAGGCTATAAAACTTATATATAAATGTACTTACATATATATATATATATATATTTAATAGATTTTGGTTATACTCAAAAAGGCAAATCAAAGCTCCGCCCAGTTGGGTTAAGATATCCTAAATATACAGCGATCAGGTAGAAAGATCTTCGACAGTTTTACAGATACGATGTGAGAATAGTTGATGAAACTATCATTGAAAACAGAGCCTATGACAGCTATAAGATATAGTGCCCCGATCTGACATATGTACTAACTGCAACAGAAAGACGAACTTATGCTAAGTTTCAAGAGTTTGGCTTTAAAATTGAGAGACAGATACACAGAGAGACAGACGGATATGACTATATCAGCTGTTGTTGCTGATCTAGATTATATACAGAACTTTTTGAGTTTGGGAACAAATTCAAATACCCTTTCCAAGGCTATAAATAAGGCTTTCACTTAAAAAGACATTTTATGCATAAACGTTCCTTTTGGGAGCTCTATATTAAGATTTTATCTAATATATTTTATGTTAGATAAGTAGATATATCCATAAAGATGTGAAAGATCTCAGTTCTCGAACGATCCTTAGTCAGTCTAACATGCCTATATCAACTAGTCTGTTGATACTGAACAGGAATATATAATTATCTTCCCTGCGCTACGTATTTTATGATCAAATTTAAATACCCTCTGCTAA